AGAGCTTTCCCCGTACGCGGACCGAAATCTAAATTGGGAAAATAATTCGGAAGTTTCTACCGCGCAGAAGACATTTTCGATTATTATTCGGCCACGCTCCGTGTGTGTTCGCGACAGCTATCTAAATTAATTATTCCTTCGATTATTCTCACTCAGGCGTATTTACAAGAGAACAGCGTCGCGATAATCTCTCTCTCTCCCTCTGACGGGTGATTGTTTCGTATTTACAAAGGAAGAACAACAGAAAACAAGAGAGAAAAAAAAAAGAACAGATTCGTGGCTGGTGTTTCGCAAAATATGCCTATCTTCCGAAAAATGAACTACTTACTTTTTTTTTTTTTTATCATAGCTTAGTTCTTTCTCTTTTATCCTTGTTTTCTTTTCTCTATTGAAACGTCGTTGAACGTCCTGTACAATGTATGGTTTTTTTCCTTTTTGTGTCGATTTCGTTTGTTGGCTGGTCTCATTCGTTCAACTTCACCAAATTCTCTCTGATTCCTTTCTCTATCCTTTGCACACGCACGCATACATACACACACACACACACACACACGGGATAATCGTCTAAATTCGATGTCGTTTCATTCGTCGCTTCCCTCTTCGTGGAAAACATCGATCTCCACGGGCAAGCGCAAACCTGACTTGTTCCGAACGCGTTCGTTTTTTCGTTCTTCCTTAATCCTCTCTCTCTCTCTCTCTCGTTCTTTCCGTTTTGCTTCTACACCTACGAACCGCGTAGGCGCAACAAGTATGAATCGCCGTGAATTGCAGCAACCAGAATTGAGAACCTATCGCTGAATTTGATTCCAGCAAAAATCGACGTTGCAAACGATCTCGGTAAAAAAATTCCTCGTGGAAAAAGAAACTGTGTATATCTCAGTCGATGTCCCTAAAAACCTATACCTACTGCCAATATAATACTTGAAAGGGGGGCTAAGCGTTTACTATTGTCGCTTCACTCGGTGATTCGGTTATATGTACGCTCTTCTGTGACAAAATATATATATATATAACACACAGAACAGAAGCATCGTTGAAAACCTACTACTTAGTGTTTATTTTTCTTTCTTTCTTTCTTTCACGAGACTTTTCCAGAGAACGAATTCTAAAGGGGGTGCCGCCGCTAACACGATGACCGGTTTTTTCCGAGGAATGTTCGTAAATCTCTCTGTGTAAAAAAAAAAAAAAAAAAAAAAGGAAGAAACGTTAAACGAAAGAAAATAAGAGAGAAAAAAAAAGGGAGACACAAGAGAGTAATATGATCAGTGGAGAAAACGTGCTTCTGTTTCTGTTCGCGAAATCCCGTTTCTTCCAACCCCTCGCGTACACACATCCCCCAAAGTGAACGATCCAATAATGCGATTAGCCTGCCTACGAACCTTTGATGGTGGTGGTGGTGGTGGTGGTGTGCTTTGCAAGGGAAACGATCGTCGTCTCACTGTTGGAAACAGTGGCGCAAAACGAGCTTGACTGTAGAAAAAGACGATGACCGTTGTTTTAACGTTGTTTTGCTGTTCGAACGTTCCGTCTGAAGTAGATGTACCGGCACACAGACAGAAGAAACATGCAAAGTACACACAACACATCGTCGTTATCTCAATTGCCACGCGGGGTAAACGAGAATATCCCATGTTCCTTTCGTGAGAATATCTTTGTCTTTCTTCTCACGCGTTTTTTTTTTTTGTTCTTTCATTATTATTATTATTATTATTATTATGTTTTGTTTGTTTGTTTTAAATTTCTTCCTATCCACCGTGCGCATGCTCATCATCACATATCAAGTTCTCCCTTTCACCGCACATCAAGACTTGTCCCCTTCTCAACAGGCTTCAGACCTAGACCATCGACGACGGCGACGACGAGGATGACCATGAAAAAAAGGATCTCGAAAAAAAGAGGAGGTAGACAAACGCCGGTGGCGCACGGTCCTCAGCCTGGAGTGGGTGGGGTCTTATGTCAGTGAATATTAAAGTTGTACTGCTTACGGCTGGACGAAATACGAAGCCACCGGCTAACGGCGAGTGGCTCCGGGTGACAGTTCGACCATGATATGTCCCCGAAATGAGGATAAGGCGAGGATGTGGTTGTTGCCTCGACCTGTATCGCCGTTGCCGACAGATCTTGCTGATGGTAGTCGTGTTTGGTCCTCTTCGACTGTCGTTGTGACACAGGACTCGTGTGAGCCGCGTGATTCAGTCTCTTCCCGTTGATCTGTGTAGGGTGTTGTTGCTCCAATTGTTCCAACTGTTCCAGCTGTTCCAGCTGTTCCATAGGCTCGAATATCAAGCTCGGCATAGAGGCTTGTACTTGTTGGTAACTCCTCGAAGACAACGGCGAATGGGCGATATTGTTGGAACGTGGTAGTTGTACAACCAACTGCGATTTATCCTTGTATACAGGTGAATAGATGGTCATAGCTGCTTCTGGATCGATGTCGATCGGTGTTTCAGCCTCTAGTACCGTCGTTACCAACGACGGTTGGGTACATGTGGCTGGCAGTGTTGCTGGTACCGGTATAGCTGGCGACGCTGTGCTCGGTATCAACGCTGCAACCGACGAAGATGACTCCTCGTTGTTCGCTGGTAACGGTGACAGTGACGGCAACACCACGGAAATCGGGGCCATCATAGAACTAGACTGTGTTGAACCGGTCGAGTTCACCAGCGACGACTCCAGGCTCCTCAGTTCCTCGTTGGCGAAGTCTTCTTCGAGCTTGGTCTAAAAAAGAGAAGCGTTGGCGACTCGCAATAAGAATCGTAGAATCCGTAAGAAGTGTGTTGGCGTTTAATTGCCCAAAAGAAACCATGCCTTACAGGTTTAGTGGAGCCATGCGGGGCCAGACACCGATAAAGCAAATCAACAGCCTGCAATAACAAAAACAGAAAACAGGTATCAACCGACACCCTGCTTTGCGAGCTACTTTGCGTCGCGGCTGACTCGTCTGGCTCGCGGATCGATCCATGTTTGTCAGCGACATTTACTAATTTCCTTTCTTTCTTCTTGGATCTTTTTTGCTTTTTTTTAATTTTTCTAATTACGCTATGTTCCGTAGTAAAAGCGTCTTAAGAGATCTACGAAAGCAAAGTGATGTTGTTCGGGGTATCGACTGATACCTGATACCTAAACAATCCTCGACGAGTTGAATTTTGATCGACGTCTATAACGAAATTGGCTATTGAATATACCACCTGTTATTCACCCAAGTCTAATTACTATCGTAGCTACGTGTAAGCGATCGATTCGATGTTTCTCTAAGTAACACGTAAGAGATTGTCATTGGTTGATACGGTGAATAGAGCGGTTGTCACCGTCGCCAAACAGAATTCGTACATTTCTTAAGGACGCTTGGGAATTCTATGCGAAATGACAAAGCGTTCGAAGAAAGTTTTCGAATTCTCTTACACGAAGCGTTTCAAAGCCATAGACAATAAAGTAAACTATTCTAAAGACTCTGAATGCCAGCTGAATGTTTGCTCTGGTAATTACGCCACGGTTGCGGTAAACGTTTCGTTCCTCTTGGTGATTAGCTCTGCTCACAAGATGAAATGCGAGAAAAAAAAAAATGCGTACGAGATGAAGAGAGATGGAGAAAAAAAAAAAGGCGAATTGTTCCATCTTAATTTCGGCGTGCTTCACCAGACAAATACATGAGAAATGAAAGTTTCACTGTACACGATACAGGTAGTAAGATATCGACAATACCAGGCCATCTATGTCACTTCATAAAAAGACACTATCACAGAAGAATGTATCAGAAAAAGAAAAAATTCAACTTCACTATATTTTTTCTCGATTGACAAAAAAAAAAAAAATCGAAATTCTTGAATGACATACGATCACAAAATTCCCAATGATCGTCTTCGGTACACCAACTTCTATCAAACTCATAGAACAACTTTCATTTCTAGTAAAAAAAAAACAAAAAGCAAAATCAACAGTAAACCGCTCCAAAAATCCTCTCGCAACAATGCACCGTCCACCGTGAAATCCCATGAAAACCACAATGATGCAAACTTGTTTAAACAAAAAAAAAAATAGAATGATGACAGAAGAACGAAACAACAGGACGTAGAAACACGAAAGGTCGTCACACTCCTACGAACAAGGGTATACACTAGATACAGGAAGGAAAGGTGAAAAAAAAAAAAAAAATATGTACAGTGGGACTACATATCGATACGATGTCCCTTACCTTTGGCAGTGGATAGGTGTCTGGCAACGACAGAACGGGTGGCGAGCTTGGTGCTTCAGTTTCGACTGTCAAGGTGGGGGTGGTGGGTGTTAAGGGGTTGAGACTGGAGTTTGCAGAGGATACGGTCACCGTGCCGGTCACGGTCACTTTCGTCGGCCTGTTCGGGATCTCCTTCGAGGCACGATGCTCCGCGAGGAGCTTGTCGAAGGTTTTACTCCGACCGATGACCGTCCGACGCAACGAGACCGTGTGAGCCTTGCACGTGAGCGACCTGGTACAAGGTTTCCCTGTCTCCTCGTTCCACACGCCACAGTGACGGTCTGGGTCGTACTCGCGGTCTTTGAGCAACGATCGATCGGTTTTAAGCCTCTTCCGACGAGGTTGACCCGCTGCTGTTCCAGGACTTTTTACAGGACTTGAAGTCACCACCGATCCACTGGAGTTTGGTGTTTGTACCGTGGATGGTAACGACTCGAGAGGTGACCTAGGTGACGAAGAGATCGGTATCGAGGCGGAGGATAAGCTCGTTGAGATGGTTGGTTGTTCGGTGTTTCTTTTCACGCTGGTGTGATTGATCTTGCTGGTCCCACTGGTCGTGATCTGCGGCGAGGACTGTGTCTTTTTCAGCTTCGATACCTTGCAATAAGGTGTTTTCACGGGAGGCTTTACGACTGGAGTGGACGGAGGTGGAAAATTGACCGTGCCTGAAGGATGGCGACTTTCTGTGGCAAAATATTAATATTGATTTATAGATAGTGCTGATAAGAAGTTGCAGGTATTGGTTGACCCAGAAATATGTTTGGTTTATGTTCTGATTTTTTTTTTTTTTTTTTTCTTTTGTAAGGAAAGTAGTATTTGAATGTTTGGAAATAAGTTATGTAGGTCATGTTTATGTTTCTTGCATTCTTTGATATGGTTTTGTGAGATGTGTTTGTAATGAAATTGTTTCTTTAAAATAAATGAACTGTAACTGAAGAAAATGATAATAGTTTGATAGTGTGACATACCCATATGTTGAATAAGAGCCTGTGGTTTCACTATGGCGTGACAAGTTTCGCACACTACCGTGTAAAAAGTATCTCTTTCAGGACAAAATCCATATAAATCAATATCTGAAACAAAAATGATTTTGTTAGAATAGAGTCAGCATAACACCAATGAAAAGGTATGTTCATTTTGTTGAATTAAAATAATACAGGTTGCAGATTAAGAAATACTATTTACCCTCTGCTGAAAGCCGTGTAACTGAGCTGGATAGTTGAGCATCTGGTTCTTCATCGCCTAAAACAAACCGAATTCTCTTATGGAACACATGGTAAAATAGCCAATGTATAATACAAGGACATTTCAATAGTAAATCATTCAAATATATACAATGTACAGAATTTGTACACATTTAGAGAATGAACATTTGAAAAGAAAGTGATAATTCCTTATAATGACTGATCTTATACCTAAGAATAAAGTTCAAGTTCATTGTGTTACTGTTATAATTACAATGTTAAAAACAGATTACAATTACAAGTCATACGATATTATTAGTCTCATATCTATTGAATCTTGTCCTTAAAAAACCTTTTTTCATTCATTTCCATCAGTTTCTAAGCAGTAATGTGAAATAAAAAACACAAACTTCTGGGTAAACAACTTTTATTATGTTTACATTTGGTACATGCATAATCTTTTAAACAGAAATCTTATAAGAGAGAGAGCACAAAATATAAAAATACAAGTGTACATATATTATTCGAGCAAAGGCCTATCGAACTTAGAGCGTTCGGTCGCGATCATTTTTCGCGAAATTCAGCGAATCTATGATGCACCGAAAGCTAACGTTCTCGACGCTCCGTATTTCACAGTCGGTTTCGCTACGAATTACATAATTGTCAGTGAAAAGGGCTGATAAAATACGCGTAATGTTCCGAGATTATGTCAGTCGTGAAGCGCGTTAGACAATTGTTGACAGACGGTATTAAATAAATGCGTGCGACGGGCCCTAATTGATACCCTGTGTCAAGTCGACGGACAAAGGAGCATCGAAGTTGAGGTTAGGTACACGCTAGCTAGACGCTCGCCGTTGTCGCGGTTCAAAGCAGCGACAGCAAACGAACGAACATTTCGATGAGATTCAGCGCACTTACTCAACGGCTTGTCTCGTCCAATTCTTTCGATCCAGCTGGACCAGGGCTGGCCGTGAAAGAATGTTGGGCTGTCACTTCCCGACATTGCCAGTGGCGCTCGCGTTGTGAATGAAACACGATGCGATTTCTCGTGTATATAGCGAGGCGAAAGTGTTTGGGGCCGGGCCGCGTGGACTGTCAGGTACGGCGGGTCTCGCGTACAGTCTTGCCTTTTTCTTAACACGCCAACTCTTCGAATGCATTTGCTCGCAAAGAGGATGCGTGTTCCCTTCTTATCGTTTGACAAAAAAAAACCCTATCGAGCGGAAATTTCAACTGGCATGTCCCTGTCGGGTAACATCTTTCACGGACCGAGTTTATTATACCACTTCTCTCTCGCGTTTGCACGCCCGAATACGAGTAAGCACGCTTCGGCGTACGGCACGCACGTAGGGTTATTACTGATATTCGAGCGCTTGCATTGGATGGACTGCCGTGACGTCATCGGCGTATAGTCAACTACTCGTGCGCAACTCGCGCGATCCAATCGGACGCTTGGATTTCTGTCCCGTCTCCGCTCGTCCTGATATCTTATTGGCGATCGGTGGCTTGCTCAGCAGGTGGATTGGAAATTTAAAGAGTTTTTCGAGTACACTCGAACTTACCTCGTTCAATTAATATCTCTTTATTCTTCGTAAAAGACGCGCCGTTTAAGAATAAAATCAAACGTTCTTCACATGCCTTACATAAAATAATAATCATTCTTTTGTTTCTACAGTCATTAAACCGGCACCGATTCGAAATTAATACATTCTTACTGTAATTTATCGTAACTTATCAGATTATTAAATCCTGTGTCGATAAGAGTAGTTATACCATAGGTTGTGATTATCTCAAACAAAAATTAAGGAATGAAAAAATTATTTAATTTGACTAGTAAACGTGTTACGGCAGTGTGTCTCGTCTCGAATTAAATTGTGAAAATGACATAATATCCAAACACTGTTCATTTTTATCCTGTGACGTATGATTGTGTTTCGGTCGGTATATCCTTGTTTCGCGTATCACCACGATGTTCTTGAATTTGTTGCCAGTTGATGAACCAGAATGGTTGTTTATCCCTCGGCCACGTTTTGATTCTGTTTACCAAATTAATATCTCCCAATGCGTCAATTGGTAAATCTGGAGGAATTGTTGATGTTGATGTTGTGGTCATTGCAGGTCCCGATATCGGTAGATTGCTGTTGCTCGCGTCCAGTCTATTTACAACTGATCCAGTAGTTCCTGCTACAGAGGCACTAGCAGCAAATGCTGCTTGTTGTTCGTCTAGGTACTGTGGAAGGACGGCGGGATAAGGTTTGCTACTTCCAGCGTAAGGTGGCCTTTGTGACTGCGTCAACATGAAAATGCTGAACAAAACTACCAAGTATTTCATCTGTAACGATAAATTTAAAAAATAAAAATTATTAATTAAACGTTAATTTTATAATACAAATTCAATTGCATTTATCACAAGTAACCTTTATCACTGAAATTTTGAACGAGATAAACGAATATTTTTCTTCTCGATTAATTTATCTTCCAAACGAAACAACAACAAGAAACACTATTTTATTTATCAGAGCAAGTGTTTATAAATTAATACAGAATGACTGATTTCACTAACTACGTTTCCTAACTTAACAGTAAACTTTACTTACCATCGTGCTGTTTTATTCAAAACTCTCCAACAAATTACACAATTTTCTCGTATGATGTCTCTCGGTGAAAACAGCCAAAGTGACTGTTCAATTTCACTCCTCCAAACTAATGTGTTCACAGCGATGATGCCTGTTGTATATAAATCCGCAGATACCAGCTTCCCCACCACAAACCGGTCGAGTCACACATCGGTGGGAAATCGCTACAACTTCCCGAAGCCGGTTCCCCTGACGCGACTACGCATCTTTTTTTAGGATGTGAATTTTTATAACGGGGGAAAACGCACCTGACGTCGTCACCAGCGCCTTTCTTATAAAGTACTAATTTCTCTTTACATCGATGAACTGAATTCTCGTGAAATCTTGCTTGACACGCTAACCAATAACTTTGCTAAGAACATCTCGACCCAGAAAGAAATGAAACTAACAGTACTGTGTACTTGTCTAACGAATTCAGTTCGAAGACGAAAAATTCGTACTACAAAGAAATTTATCAGACGCACTTCGGCATTGCAGGACTTTTATTTCGACAGTTTTGCATATGGGGTTATTGTTGTTTCGATTGTATGAAAATATTTTTTTAAAATTTATTTAATTGAATGCTTTAAATAAAACGAAATATCTTCTTGGGTTTTGTTAATTACATTACAGAAGGTTAGGTGATGTCATAATAAACGTATATTGAGTTTCTGGTTAACACGCCACGCAAAACTATAAATCTTTTGTTTTCAAGTAATTGCCATTTTCCGTGTTTTCCTACTTATCACTGTGTAGAACATGTTCGTATTGTATTGCGGTTTTGGACTGACATAATACGCCATTTTGTATAGAATATTCCGTTTTAATTTTTTTTGCTCCATGCTCGACACAAAGAAAACGCTATAACGTGTCGAGGTTAAACCGAGTGTTCATTGTAAAAAAGAATAACAGAAAAGATAATGCGTTTAATTCAATAAGATTCATTCTTCAAACAAAAGATAAATTCTTTCAAAGGTTTTATCACGAGCATAGTTCACGACCTTCTTCAATCGTATCAATATTTACTTTATGCAACTTTCTTCGATGAAAATTACATCTCTACAAAAATGAATCTTTTTTGCAATACCACGAGGCAAGTGGCGCACGTCGATAAAATTGCACTGCTTTCCGTATTTCCTTCCGAGAAATGAGTTCTTTTAAAATGGAAAAAAAAAAACTAAGATTTTTACTCGATAACGTAAAGAAATAGAGTTGAACATGAGTTGCAAAGATTATGGAAAAATTACGATTTTTCACAGTCTGCAAGATCTAATTTCTGTTTGTGTTTCTAAACTTTCCATCGATAAAGAAACGCCGTTATCGTCTGAGCATAATAAGATGTCCACGAGAATCATGGAAATACCAGGAGCACAAAATCTCGTTCGCGTGTGTTCGTCATTCGCATGCTTCTTGAAGACCACTTCCTTGCTCTTCTATTTCCTTGGTAGTGCGTTGCTGGCGTCTACAACAAAGGGAGAACAAGGATGGAAGGGGTAATGATTTTTGCCAGGGTCACGTCTACATCTTATTTATCCGCAAGCAAGAGAAACAAGGATCGTTTGGATCCTGAATTGATGATAATCTTGGATTTTCCCCGCAGGCTTTAAATACCAACGCGCAAGAGAGTTCATTCCCGAAAGATTACAAGCACCTCTACTATTTGTTTCTGTTGAGATGACGAAGTGAAATATTCACTTTCTCTAACGAAATTTAGTCGATTAGTCTTACCATTAACAGGAAGGAAATTACAACGTAGATTACGCTTCGCGGATAGATTTCACTCGATTCAATCAAAGTGCACGATAAGAAAAATGTCTTAATTTGGTGAACGATTTACGTCATCGGAGTTGCACGTTTTGTTTGTTTCAACGGGGTTTCTATGAACTTTGGCAGCCATAGTTACGTGTACGATAATACCGATTGGTTGATATCGGCCGATATTGCGAGAAAAGTGTGATCGGCTTTGTTAAGCAATTAAAGGTTATGTAGAAGCTTGCGACTCGCGTTACAAGCAATCGTTCGATACTGAGTGCAACAGTTAGAAAATGCGACGAATGTATATGCACACTGTATAGTGTTCTGGGATAATCAGATTCGTAATTTATTTACCGTTCGAAACCTGTTTCACCAGTTGAGATGAAATAAATGTTAGCCTCCTTTTCGTAAGGACGGCATATACTGTTCTTTCGTCAATTGTTTGCACGGCCGAGAAAATGTAAAGCTTTATTACTCGTTAAATAATTGTTCGGATTAAAAATAGTCCGTCATTGCGAAGGAAACTCAGGCAACTAATAATAAGATGCTGGTAAGTATTCCTCTAACAATCTTTCGGTAGCTGGTGTCGATACGTTGATTTATGGATCGTCTTAATCTCACCACGTGACTGTCAGAGTTAAATGACACGTTCATGCAAAGAATGCATGCATGGTTTAAGAATCATTGCGTAATAACACTTGACCTTGTCAAAATTCTGAAGTATTTCAAAGAAAAGAGATTTTTTTGATCTGTAGATACTTTAGAAGTATTGAAATATATTCAAAATATCATTTTGCATAATTCATGAAAACGAGATTATTTGTATACTATTTCAACTGTGATTATACCGATGGATTGTGACGTTTGTATTTCACTGCAAATTGCGATAAATTATTGTGCGGTTTATCAAGTCTTAACGAACATGCTTACATCACAGACAACACTGGATTTACGTATTAAAAGTGGAATTCACAGAATAAACTGACTCAAAGCCTCTGGAGCTGCTATCTGTGCAACGAATGTAAAAGTGCATTTATTTGTGCATCGACCGACGAGCATTTCAATCGTCAACTTTTAGTTTTAGTTTTAGATCACGAGATGGCCATAGTGACCTCTGGAATGCGTCTCCATGTTACAATATTTCGATGCAATTGCAAAATAAGTCTCGGTGCAACGTTCACGTTTTTGTAAATCCCCATTTAATCGCGGATTTTTTTTTTCAAATAATCTTAAGAACGTATTAAAGAAATCGGGGAAATCGGGTAAACGAATAATCATATACAAACTGTATATCAACGAATTGTTTGTTTTTTCACGGAAGCTATAAAGGACATTTTCTAAATCGGTCGTTTTTATAATTAATACCTAGTATCGATCTTCCACGTTTTATGAAACAACATTCTATGGAAAAATTAAAACTGTTTTAATTTCAATGTGACAAAATAATGTTATGTTCAAATCACAGACGAGGTTCTGTACTCAGATTCACCATGTGAAGATATAATATCTGACTACATAAAAAACAAGAGTGAATTTAAAAAAAAACATCTTAAATAATGACAGTCTATATCACAGTGTAACTTTCAAACTAAATTGAAAAAGAATATGAGTTTTGAATTTTACTTGTCTCTTTTCGAACACTATACAGTAGTCCTATTCGGCGTATGGTGTCGCCATCTTTCGTATCTTACTGAACTATCTGCAAAGCTTTTTGCAAATTTTACAGGTAATTTCAGAAAAAATTATTCCTTTACTTCAAACAAATCATTTCTGTAGCTAATTAAATTCCTTCTGACAAGCAACGAACGCTGATACAGTATAATAAAGGAAGGAGCATTTTCATGAAAAAAATTTGTCTCCTTTTCACTTTTTCTTTTCCTTAACCTCATATTTTCTCATTTCAAGTGTATTTTGGAACACAAATAATTCTAAATCGAGATAAAAATTTTCAATCACGTAAAAGACTTTAAAATAAGAAAATTAGACAAAATTTACTTCAAATCGTTATATCTGAAAGAAAAAATTAATTCTGCAGAAATCCATTGTATTACAATAAGTAAAAAAATATTAATTTATTTCAGAACGAACTGGTTTTCTTGATATTTACCGAAAACCATCATTGTTTCGCCTATTATCGGGCTAGCAGTCGACGTCATCTAATTTAGTGTTGCAAACGAGATCATTGCAGCGGATCAGCGCGATAATGACAAAATTACTCTCTTTGTTCTACGAGATAAATGTCATTTTCAAGGTCTTTACCAATGGTATCCTGCCATTTTTCTACGCCCACATTTTTTACCTTTTTCTCTTAACAAATATTCCGTCTTCTATTTCTACTACATTTTACTCACTGATACAATACTAAATTCATCTTTTTTTTTTGCAGTTCCTTATCTAATTCAGAAGAAAACGAAGAATTCCTTTTTTACACAATTTTTCCTTTCGCAGAATTAAAGTTTACCATTTCTACAGTTTCCGCGTTCTCACGTGCAGCGTGAAAATTCAACGTAACCAAGAATCCGTCAAACGAATCCGTCAGAACGTCGTAAACTTGTTCGAAATCACAACGAAGCCGTGAACTTACGAACTTCAGCAACGCCGTCATGCATAGAATTAAACAAACACATTAATTTTTATATTATGACTTTAATTTTAATTGTTTTTTTGCAAAAAAATGCTTTCGAATTATCTCGTAGTCGGGCGTCTCCTAATAGGATATAACTTCTACCAGCAAACTGCCAACCACGAGTTATCTCGCGGTTGGCAGTCAACGTGTTAATATGCTCCGTTAATTACACGCTTGATGAGCGCACGTTCATCTGCGATTAATTCTCAAACACCAGCGAAACAATAACCAATCTTTCCTGGCATATTAATTTAACTACGTATGTACGTATATGTTTCTGTAATAACTTTCTAAAACCAATAATTAAACTTGGTGTATAATTTTGTTGATTGAACCAGTCGTGTATTATTATGTATATGTGTATTTTTAATAATACAAGGTGCTTCAAAGTAGAGTATGTAAATATGGAAGTGACTTTTTTAGAGAAAGAGAATTGGTAACATATTTTGTCTTCAGAGAGTCTTCAGTTGTTTATCATTGTTGTCAATATATTCTTGGAATCTTGTTTTCGTTTGCATAGAAAAGAAGAGGTCATGTCGTTCCATAAGTTAAGTACGTTTCGAATGTTATACCGAAATTTATATTTATATTTCAGACATTTCTTTATCATTTGTGTTCCACAATTTTTTCTCATTCTTTTTTTATTAAAGGTATTGCACTACATTAAAGAAGATTAATTCTCCACATAAGTGTTAACACTATTTTGAAGCGCCCTGTAGAATCAGTTGAAGATACTGATTCTAGGAAAGCTCTCATTTTTCATTCAACTATTTTTTGCACTCGAATATGTGGGTTGACTTAATATCATATTAACAAATACGTCTATTTTATCTTGAAAGAGTTTCCAAACGTATTCTTAGAATCTTCTGTTCTTCATAAAGAGAATTAAATGCTGATTCGTTCCAAGAAATTTCTCATTTTGCATTCGAACTCATACAATGACCTAATATCATTTTAATAAATTCTGTCTTCAAAGAGTCTCCATTTATTCACCACTATAGTCAACATACTCTTACAATCTCCTTTTCTTCATCTAATATCATTTTAATAAATTCTGTCTTCAAAGAGTCTCCATTTGTTCACCACTATAGTCAACATACTCTTACAATCTCCTTTTCTTCACAAACAAACTAAATTCTCCATACAAATGTTAACGTTATTTTGAAGCATCCTGTAGAATCAGTGAAGCATGCTGTTTCCTTTCAAGAAATTTCTCATTTTGCATTCGAACTCATACAATGACCTAATATCATTTTAATAAATTCTGTCTTCAAAGAGTCTCCATTTGTTCACCACTATAGTCAACACATTCTTACAATCTCCTTTTCTTCATAAAAAAAAATTCATTCGAACTTACAAGATGACCTAACATCATACTAACAAATATACTTTGCTTTCAAAGAGTCTCCATCATGAATGGTCTTCACTATCAACGCTATTTTCAAACACTCTGTAAAATGAATAGAAGACGCTGATTCATTCCAAGAAATTTCTCGTCGTCTCAAAAGCGCGTTAGATCGCAGCCTACCCATCTCGTGACCAAGGTAACAATAACTCGCGTAGTATAAAAGCTCAGAGACCGTCTCTCTGTCCGGTGAAAAGAGAACTTCGTTTCGTCCACCAGCCATGACCGACGGTATAAACTTTATTCTACTAGCGTTTTCCCTAGGTCAGTTAGGTCCCCCGGTTAGCTCGTTATTAGTACACTCGAGACCGGTTATCATGTCGGGATCGTCAATGATTCACGAAGGACGGGTCAGGCTAGTTGCAACGATACGTTAACACCGTTCACACCGAAACTCTCCCCGTTCGATTTGTCGATTATTCTAAAACTCCTTCAAGGACCACGCGCCTGACCTAATTTCTACTTTACAACTATCGCCTCGTGCTGTATGAAGAAGTTAGATTTCAAATCGTTCCTACATTGATCGCTTAAGTGTTTAAGTTCAGTGTTGAAGAGTTCTCATTTCTTTTCTTCCCGTGTTAATTGAAAATTCGTATTTAATTCTTGTTAAATTATCGTTGAAGGATCAGCAGGTCGATTGGAATAATAAACAGTTTGACACTTTTGTGATATGGTTACGATGAACGTGACATTTCTATTTGGTATCTCGTGTTGCGTATTTTAATGGAAGGTAAAACACATTTCCAGGTTTTCGCACAGTGTCATGATTCACGTGTGACTGCTGGTGAGTCGACTGAACGTCTCTGCTCGGGGATTAGGAGGACGGTGACAGCTTCGCAAATTTGCGGAATTGAACTACAGGCGAGTGTTCAACGCTAGAACAACCGACGCTAAGTCAAAATGATCCCATTGGCAATTTTCCAAAAGTGAATATTTATGTAATTGAAACGTGATTAGACTCATATCGATACGTAGAGTTACAAACGATAATAAAAACGTGACTGAAAAGTTAGATTCATATCGGTACATGGAGTTAGAAACGATAACACTTATCGGTGGACTGCGGATTTTCATGCAAATTCATATTTTTACGAGTAATATTAAAAACATAGAAGTTAAATAGGCAATTGCTTTATTTACCAAGTATTACAGTGAGTACTATATTTTTGCATTGCCATTATATGCATTCTGAGTACTTTTGCGCCTTCCAAATTTCCACAAATGCGTAAAAATTCGCAATCTAAGTATCGAACAATTCATTTTTCTCTCGATAAGCGCTAATGGGTCATTTTTGACCCGGTCGGTTGTTCCAGCGTAAATTAAGTTGCTTTTCGAGAAGCTGAATAACGAACGAAGGATTTCAGATACCGATGAAAACTCGACACCTTTGAGGAACAAAGTTTCTGTACGTTGAAAAATTGGTACGTTGCGACCTTGGTGTAATTTATAATTACAGTGGAGGACAAGAGTATTCATACACCCTATAAAACGGAATAACATTTTTAAAATTGGGCCAAACGGCTTGAGTTTTTTTGAGAATTTCGAAAGATTAGTTTACTAGATGACGTGTAGAAAAAATTTGGAAAAAACTGCAATTACTCGGAATCGCGAAGAAAATAGATGTCAATTATACACACGCTGAAAATTTTATCGAAATCGGTTAATGTTGCTATGAGCTACAAACGGTTAAAGATTGTGAAAATCGCACTATTTCACGACTTTCGGCCTAGAACTGTAATAAATCTGCAGATTCTTACATCTTTCGATGCCTGTCGCTTGTTTCTCCATCCACTGATTTCGATGAAATTTTCAGCGTATGTATAATTGACGTAGATCTACAAAACGTATTTTTTTAAATTTTCATTACGAGCTCAGATAAAAAAAGTTGTAAAAACGACCTTCGCTATTTTCTCCGCGATTCCGACTAATTGCAGTTTTTTCAAAAAATTTTTGACACGTCATCTAGTAAACTAATTTTTCTAACTTGTCAAAAAAACTCAAGTCGTTTGGCCCAATTTTAAAAATGTTATTCCGTTTTATAGGGTGTATGAATACTTTTGTCCTCCACTGTATATCGATAAATGGGTGTACCGATTCATCTTTATATCATGTTTCCAAGGAATTTACATCGGAACCATCTTTATTAACACGATCGAAGTGTTCATAGTTAAGCAAAAAGATGCTAGAATTCACTTCGAATCGTATTCGTTTCACGTTAATTTTTGTAGATCCTCTTTGAATCTAATCGAGCGATGATTCGTTCGTTAGAATGTTGCGAATATAAAGACAAAATTTGGTCTTTCTTAAGTTTTTCCTCTGTTCAGAAATATTTTGGAAAAATTGACAGATGGTACGAAATCTTAAGTAAGATCGTCCGTCTGAGAATCTCGCAGGGGAAATTAATAGACAGAACTGTTTCTCGCGTCGGTAATTAATCGAAAGACCCCTTTCCCTTGCCGCGAGGACGTATCGTAGCGCGTAATTTGCGACACGGTCGCAAGAAATTCGACACGTGTAGTACCAGCTGTATGTCCAATTAGCAAATTATTCGACTTGACGCGAGGGAACTCGATGCACGCCTTACTCTGCCGTTTCCGTCTAATAATCGACGTCCCTAGAAAACTTACGGCGTTTCAAAATCTTCGGCGAAAATTAGAAATTCAAACATCTTCGATCTTTTTTTTTTTTAACAAAAAGTCACGTTTCAATTCTTCTTCCATCGATTAACCGTGAATCGAAATTAATTAACCCTTTAAGGTACAAGTTTTTTCTTACGAAATGATAAATTTTTCTTTTCTAATTGACTATATCGGAATTAATTAACCCATTAACGAATAAATTTTTCTATTATTATAGAATGATAAATTTTATTTAATAAGTTTTCGCCTTTCGACACAAATCACACGTGTCAATTCTTTTGTAATCGATTACCCATAAATGGAAGTTGACAAATTTTCCTTCAATTCACTCTTAGAAACTGGTCAATTTTTTAAAATAATTTTTCGCCTTTCAATTCTTCTCTAGTCGACTAAGTATAAATCAAACTTAATTAACCCTTTAACGAAAAAATTTTCCTTCAATCCATCATTAAAAAATTTTTCGCCTTTCAATTCTTCTCTAATCGACTAACCATAAATCAAACTTAATTAACCCTTCAATGAACAAATTTTCCTTCAATTCACTCTTGGAAAATGATCGATTTTTCAAAATAATTTTTCCGTTTCAATTCCTCCCTAATCGACTAAGTATAAATCAAACTTAATTAACCCTTTAACGTTCAAATTTCCTTCAATCCATCATTAAAAAATAATTTTTCACCTTTCAATTCTTCTCTAATCGACTAACCATAAATCAAACTTAATTAACCCTTTAACGAAAAAATTTTCCTTCAATCCACCATTAAAAAATTTTTCGCTTTTCAATTCTTCTCTAATCGACTAACCATAAATCAAACTTAATTAACCCTTTAACGTTCAAATGTCCTTCAATCCACCATTAAAAACTAACAAATTTTTTTTCTATTTCATAAATTCATAATCTCAGAATACATTGCACCACACTTTCTTCATTTCCAGCAACCTACAAATTACTTCTACCAAACCGTACAAGAAGAAGCTCAAGATGGAATACAAACACAACTCACTCCTCCGAGTACCAAGAATTCTTCCAACTACAAAAACCAACTAAAATCACCTATACAATACACGAATTATCCACAAGCCAGTAGATATTGAATTAAGTTGAAATTCGAAATATTTAACTCCCTCCATCGTGATCGAACTTGGAATCCATCGTACCAACTCCACCACCGTCGGTGTCTGCAGAACCACAGAAATTTATAACACAGGCTGGCACGGAGGGACGCGGGAACGGTGGACGGTCGTTGACACGTGAGGTAATTGCCTGCCAGTTTCGAAATGGCGTGTTAACGTGTCGCGCACGGACCCTTCATGACCCCGATTCGAACATACCGTATCAATTCTCTAAACCTATCGCCAGCCTGTGCACACCAGCTTTATTTTCCAGCTGGAAAGAGAGAGCAGCCGGCTTCGGTAAATTGGAGCTCGGTAATCGTAAGAAGAGGTCAGTAGTGCAGTTTAGCCACGGTATAAGAGCGGCCCCAACATCGGTTACTCCACTAAAGTAGTTCGAACGTTGCACGGTGTCGCCATGAACG